GGGGGGTGGTGCTGGTGGGTGCCGGGCCCGGCTGCGAGGAACCCTCCCTCCGCCGCTCTGACAAGGTGTTGTTTGCCTGGTGAGGCTGATGTGCTATTTCTACAGTATTTCTACACGTCGTATGGAAGGAAAAAGGGATCCACGTTGCATGAGCACCGTGAGATATCCGGCAAGAGAAAGCTCTGCCCACCACCCACGGTCTTCGGGGCTCCCTGGATTTGCCGGGAGCGGAGCCCGGCGCTGTGGGGACATCGCCTCTGTGGTTCGTACGGAAATCTAGTTGTATCCTCTTGCCACGTTGATACTAAGATTGATTAGTTATTTGCAGCAACAGTTGCCTGCCTCGTCCTGCTTACCAGAGATCCCTCTAGGAGCAGCCGCCCCCCTCCAAAATGCTCTGTGTGTGGGTCAGACCCTGGGGAGCCTGGAGGGTCTCGGGGTCGGACCTTGGTATCAGGGAACCCGGACGCTGCGGGTTTGTTTTTTTTGGTTGGTTTTGGTTGGGTTTTTTTTCTGTTTTGTTTTAGGTTTTCCTCAGGTCTTGAGAAAGCACCTCCATTGGAGAAGGGAACAGCCGGGTAATGAAAGGTCGTTGTCCCGGCGTTGAATTACATAGTCAATGTGCCTGCCCCATCAAAACCATCATGCTGCAGCCTTTGCCCCACCAGCCTGGCTCTGGGGCCAGGCGCAGAGCTGGGAGGGAGGGTGACCCCGTCATCTAGTGATGACTGCAGTGTGGCCTGATCTCTACCGCCCCTGCAGCCACAGCCGTCGGTCTGCTAGCCATCCTCTTAAAGTGCCATTCTTTTCATTTAACATGGAGAAGGAGGTCAACAGCCTTCATCAAGTCAGTGTGATGTGTGGTTTGATAAACCCTCGCATGCTGAACAGTCAGGGTGGAGGAAAGTCTCTGAGCTTAACTGTGCCGGGAATTTTCCACTTTCGTTTCAGTCACAGAAGCTTATTGTTTCCAACATGGAAAGTGCTCCAGGCCTCTGTGTGATTAAATTCATCTGTAGCATTTGGGATGGGACATTGTGGTGACAGAGACTGAGACTAGGACTTTCTGCTGGGTCATGACAAGGCTGCAGGAGTTGTAATTCGGAGAGTATTAATGTACCAAACAGTTGTCTCTCCTTCCCGCTTCTTCCCCATCTCCCCTCTGAACATGAAGGTAATCCTGGGCTAAGTGTAGTGTTTATAGCTAACGCTTCTCTGCATGTTTGAGTCGGTTACACATTTCTAAGAATAACTAATCGGTTGTGGAGTACAAATTCAAGCATTGTAATTTATCCAGTTTATGGTGGCATCTGCCTGTAAAATAGTGTATCCCATGTTGATAGTGGTGATGATGATTGCCTGATTTGCTCTAAAACAGTAGCACAGGAATCAAGATCAACTCACTTTAAAGTAACAGGGTACTTCTCACTGACGGCTGCTTTCTTTTTTTTCATCCTTTCCTCTGTCAGTCCCAGGTTTACAGCTTTAATTTTATGCTTTCCCTCCTTCTCTGGTATCAGTATTACACTTGAATGAGATTACTCACAACCAAACAAGGGCTTCTCTCCTAATAGTCTCTGTCCTTAAAGCCCTTTTTTACCTTACCTTCAATACTACGGAAGTCTTGTAGTCCATCCTGTGATTCAGTCAGCCATCTGACACCTCTTGAAGCATTTAAGAAATCTTCTTTGATTTCTTTCTTCTTCCTTCACAATATACTTGTCCTCCTGTGAGAATGCAAAACTAAAGCCTTTCCACTAATCTATGGAGCAACAGTTCCTTCCAGCTGATCATAGTGTATGGAAAGAACAAGTCTTTTCTGACAAACTAGTGTGTTAAAGCCACCCAGACTGTTTGCTGTACCCAGCTGTGAGCAGAGCTCAGCCTTCCCCAGGCTGCCAGTGGGTGTGGAGGCTGCCTGGTAGTGGCATGCCTGGAATTTCTCATGCAGTGCCCAACACTTGCACAGGCAAGCCCAGGTTTCTAGGTATTCTCTTTCTGGGATTAATTCCACTATCATGCACCAGAGCAAGTAGTATCTTATTCAGCAGTGAGTTTTACTCAGTCTTAGTCATGAAGATGGAATCGGTCCCACCACAACAACAACAGCTCTTTACCTGCATCCTTTCCAACACTCCCTACATGGCCTCACCAATGCAAAAGCGAATAGAAGCTCCCAGAAGTAGCAGCAAGTTTGGAGAGATCTGGGTCCTCACCAGTTTGAATTTTGGCAGGTGGTGCTTCCACCAAGAGCTTGAGCTATAGCTGGAGCTATAGCATATCCTTTCTAGTATTGAACTCCTGGGAAGACATGAACTCTTATACAGTGGAGAACTGAACAGTTTTTGAATGAAGTTATCTAGTGCTTAACAGTACTGATTTTGGTGTATGCTGCTTCTAACACGAATCCAACTAGCATCAGCCTTCAGGGACCAAAAATTAAAATTACTTCATCTTCTAGACCAAAAGTCTGTATTTGGTAACAGAGTGGGTTACAGTCTGTGGCTCAATATCTTGCTCTCCCTCCCTCCTACCCTTTCTGCCTTTCCTGACTGAAATCTGTGATAGCTGTATGTAGACACCATGGAAGATGTCTTGTGCCAATTAGCAGCTATAATTACTCGTGTATCTCAGCC